CTTTAAACCACGTTCTTGAAGAAACATTAGGAATAATTGAATGTAACAACCGCCCAAGATTTCTTTCGGTTTGCCAACTCGAAAGGGTACTCTGACGCACTAAATGGTAAAATTCATCGTGTGAAATTTGCCTGTCATAAAATTCGCCTTCCTCCGCGCCCTCCTTTGCGAGAAAGTCCGCCTTCTCATTGCCTGGGATTGAGCAATGTGAGGGGACCCATACAAAGGTAATATACACACTTAGAAATAACTAATTTTACACGAGACGGAATCCATCTTTGACATAAAAGATGAGACGTAAACAAACATTTCATGTAATATTAAGTGCTCCGAGACTGAAAGTTCGATGCTCGACGAAAAGTAGGTTTGATTGAGCTATATTTCGCGTCTGTTATGACTTAAATTTATGTCAAAATTAACGCTCGTATATGTCACTCTTAGAGCACCTAAATTTACATGATTTTTTCTAATGACATATCATATATATGATCTTTCGACCAGCAAACTCATCTGCTCCGAGATCTGCTCCCTTACCTTTGAAAGGAAATAAGATGAGTGCCTACTTGGTTTCATCGGCCGAATAGCCTCAATCGAACTGAGACTATCTGAGAAGATGAAGTAATGGTCTGCGGGCATGTTGGAAATCATCCCCAATGCGAAGTTGATTGCTGCCAGCTCAGCAACAAAAACGGAACAAGGTTCCTGGAGTTTGCGGAAGGCGCTAGAGTTTTCATTGAAGACACCGAAGCCAGTGGATCCACTGAGACAAGACCCGTCTGTAAAATATCTGCACGGCAAATGAGAACGACTCAAATTTGAGTTTAGTTCACTCATAATCGCCAAAAGTGCAGGAACTCAGCGATGAGTAAATTTGCCTCATGTTTTCCCAGGTTTTTCAAGGATTTTCCAGGGAAAAATTCCCGAATTTGGGAAAAATAAAGATTAGATTCACTCATGGTACATGGTACTACTCCGAGACTGAATAAAATTTTCGTCAATTTCCTCATTTTCCGGCAGATTTTTTTAGAATGAGACAAATTTTACTCATCGCTGATTTCCTGCACTTTTGGCGATTATGAGTGAACTAAACTCAAATTTGGGTCGTTCTCATTCGCCGTGTGTTCACGCAATTGACGTGTTGGTACTTTTCAGTAAAAATACGCGGGATAATAATAGGTCGAAGTTGATCGGGAATCCCATGAGTTGCTTGTTTCATGGTCAGATCATATTCAATTGAGGAACTGTGATTGGTGAAGTGAGCACGGTCTGGAGTGTAACAAGGAAGACACATATCTGACGATATGTAGTGGTGGTAGATTCTCATAAATGGAGATTGTGTGTTCAGCCCAAGAATTTCTTCAAAATGTTCAATTATTAGTGTGTTCGTCACTCCGCATTTGATTAGTATTCTGAAAGAGAGCTCCCAGAAACGGTTCTGGAGGGGTGTTACTCCTGCCAGAACCTCGAGACTCGAGTTATGCGTTGAGTGCATACAGCCGAGAGCAATACGCAATATTGAATTCGTTCCAATTTTATAAGGTGGCATTTTCTTGCCGAGAGAAAGCAGAAAGAACCGTACTCTAGAACAGTGAGAATAGTTGATTTATAAAGCGTTATGAGGTCTCCCGGATAAGCACCCCACCATGTGCCGCAAATTGAACGGAGAAAGTTGATTCTCTGTTGACATTTTTGCTTCAAATACGTAATATGGGTATTCCAACTGCACTTTGAATCAAACCAGACCCCAAGGTACTTGAAAGACAATGATTGATTAATGTTTCTGCCCAAAAGATTAAGCTGCATTTGGGCTGGGGACCGCTTCCGAGTAAACACTACCAGTTCAGTTTTCTGCGGCGAGAATTCGATCCCTAGATTCCTAGCCCAATAGGACAAGTTATCTAAGGAACTTTGCAATAGTCCTTGCAAGTCCACGGCATGTGGACCTCTTACGGAAACCACACCGTCATCTGCAAGTTGTCTTAGCGTGCATTGTTCTGCCAAACAGTTGTCGATATCTTTGACATAAAAGTTATAAAGAAGAGGGCAGGCCCATGTAGCTAATTCTGGAAGTTGTCAGTTGTCCAAGGGAACAGTTCATTTGCTTTTCTGACAACAAATTGTACAAGAAATTATTTAGAATTCCAGAAAGTCCACATCTGTGCAGATTGTCTGACAGAATTTCAATGGAAACTGAATCAAAAGCCCCCTTAATGTATAAGAATACTGAAATCAATTGCTCCTTGTGCGCAAAGGCCAGTTGAATATCTTGCGGAGCCCAAGCTGTGTATTTGATAGCAAGTTATTTGTTTCGACCCACTGATCGAGTCTCCGAAGGATCATTTTCTCCAACAATTTCCTAATGCACGAAAGCATCGCAATCGGACGGTACGAGTTAGGGTCAGACGCTGGTTTGCCAGGTTTTCGAATGGCTATTACTTTGACCTGTCTCCATTCAGGCGGTATAATGTTGTTTTCTAGTATGGAAATGAATAAGTTTATGAGAAAGTGTGAACATACTGAGAGGTAAGCACATATCATGTATCATAGAACGCTTGCGCAAAAAGACTAGGGTGGGAAACGGATTTGAAACTCAAAAGTCATCAGCCAAATACATCCGTAGACCATAGATCCACCGTTGTATAATTGGCAATGCACCCGTGTACTGAATGGCAATTGTGGGTTCGAATCCCACCGGTGCCCTTAGATTTTTTCGCAAATTTTCTCACACACACGTCTCTTACCGATGATATGTGCTTACCTCTCAGTATGTTCAAACTTTCTCATAAACAATTAAATTGACTGCAAAGTCGCTAAACCGTAAATCAAAGAAATGAATAAGTCTAGCAAGCGTCTTTTAGCGATATCTGGGAGATTTTTCAATGATATCGCTTCCCGGTGAGGAGTTGTTCGATGAAAGAAGAGCCATAGAGAATTCCAGCATTGTGAATGGTCTATCCAGAGAGCTGCCGGAGACGCTTCTCGAAGAATGTGTTGTGCTGGAACTGAGTCCGGGCAGACCTTTTTAGCGAAATCGAATATCCGTCGGTTGGAGTATTCTCCACTCTCATTAGAAGATGAGCGGTTACGCATGTTGCGAGCCACCCTCCACAAGGTGTTCATTGAGGTTTCTCGTGAGAGTCCCTCGACGAAATTGCGCCAATAACAGCGTTTTTTTGCTTTGATTAATTGTTTCAGCTTTGTCTCAAGCTTTAAATATTCCTCGAAGTGTGTGGAGGTTTTGTGTCTACGAAAAGCTTTGAAAGCATCAGATTTTTCTACATACAATTTAAATGCACGAATGGTAATGAATTAAAAGAAGAGAACGGTGTTTCTTGCGAATACAGTACGTGTTTGCTAGCTGGGCTAAAAGTGCAGCCCAGTTAGCGAATTTCACTCACTATAACTTGACTGGCTTGTCAAACGTCAAAAAATACTGAGGTGAACTTCAATGGCTTGTTTGATCGACGTTAAAAAAAATTCACGTGCATTGAGTTGAAACAGTGAAATGTTTCTTAATGATATTTTCACTGCATGGCACGTGCGGGTTTAAATAGGCTTAACGCTTTCGCTGAATACGCTTTCTAGTCTTGATTTCAGTGTGAAATGAAAATAATTACAAACTTATTTATATTAGCACTTTACATTCCATTCGAATGCCCCTCACCAATTATGACAACGAAATGTCAAACTAAATATGACGTCTATTTTTGACGTATAACTGCTTTTTAACTGGGCTACAGCCGTGTAATTAGCTTGAATTAACTTAGATATTTTTGGGGAAAGCGCTGTTTTTACTATTTCCCGAATCCGCCCGCGAATTACTTTTTGGTTAAGCGTATTATCAGTATAATTTTATAGCGGAGCTGGGTCTCAAAATGAGTTCAAAGCAAAACAAATAATGGGATTAAAAGCAAATGTTTAATATGTAAGTAAAATGCAGGGTGACCAGTGATTCGGGAAACCGAGAAACCAGGCTGAAGCCGGGAATTTGAAGTCACCGGGAAAAAACCGCTTTTGAAGACGTCAACATATCATAGCCTAATTGGGATAGTTAGAAAGCGAAAACCCTGCTTGTTTCAATCTGATTCGATATTTGTATCAATAGCCTTGTATTTTAATATTTTTTTTTGTGTAAATGTATAAAACACAGAGCTTTTGCTAAGGAATAAACAGGTTTTAACCACAAATTCTAAAGAAAATGCTGATAAACATGAGACCGTATACACACTGAAACTTTCAACACTGAGAGAGGAGAAACTTCAAAATCATTCCTGAAGTAACTTCTAGATTCTAGCTGGAGCACTTCACTTTAAATTTTGTTATTAAGTCTAAAAAAACATGTTTCTAAGTGCACTGACCTAAACTTTTTCTATGGCGTTAATGGCATTTATGATAGCATTCATGTCAAATTGAAACATATTTTTTAGGCAGGATCTAGCCTGACCATCTGCTGTATAACGGGGTGAACTAGCCTACGGCTAAAAATCACGGTAAGAAAAAAAATAATGATAGCTATTGAAAATTAAAAAGGATTGTAAATAAATTATGTAAGTTGATTAGGACCCATGCATTAATTATGTCACGCTAAATCGAGGAGAAATTTACCCCCCCCCCCCTTATCGTGACGTTTTTCCTATACCTAATGCATTGCTTGTCTCTTAGACCCCCCCCCCCCCTAGGGCGTGACATAATATATGCATCAACCCTTATTGGTAAAACTATTTGCTTTGGATTGCCACTCTTTATTCTGTTCTGATTTAGCTCAATATGAGTACCATTTATATTTTACCGTTCTCAATTAAAAGCTTTCCAAGTCTGCACTCTTTTTGCATGCTCAGCATTCCTTCATAGAATGGAGATTCCGTTGGAGTCAAAATTGTATTGGAACACCCTAGAGTACCGTTGTCTTCGAAAAGCAAAAAATAGGTGTGCAGGACATCAAAAGTAAACAGCGAGTTGTATACATATGGTAGACATGAAGGGTTTCTGGTGCAGCTTACCGTGTTATCTATACCATGCCGAGAGCTTTCGTTACCGTATCCTTTGCTACCGCTTCGGATAATTGCTTGGTCGATGTACAATGTTAATCTAATTATCACTTGTATTACCATGGCCACGAAGAGATTTTTGTGAATCCGCGTTCTGTTGTTGCGCAGACTTCTGGAATAAACGGCAAGTGAAAGGAAAATCCGATTTATGTAAACTGTCTCTACCCTTACATGTGATTAGTCGGCAATGATATGTGATACACGGTTTGAGAGCTGTGATTCTCGTAAATGGGCTATGATTGGAATTGTACACACAAGTAAGCATGCCTATGATGAACATGAGATTGTTTAATACATTGAATTGATTGCAGTGATGATTTTTTTTATTTTCCTAACAGTTTGGATTTGAATAACCTACCGAAATCTGCAGAATATCACCAACGATACAATAAGCGCTGTTAATGAAAGACTGAATCCCACAATTTCTAGCGTCCGTGTCCGCTCGGCAATTACTATTTTAATCTGCATTGAGCATGCATGTAAAATGAAAGAGTGTCAGTCGTAAGATCTTCCCTCAAATAATAATTAAAGAAAACTTACATCTGCTTCATCGTTGCTACCTCCCGCGTAAAGTTTCCTGAACAGTTGAATAACTTCAGGACTGTAGCATGGTGTGTAGTTGGTCCATCCAAGTGAGTTAAGTGTGCTGCCTGGTTTACCTTCCCATCGTCCTTCGGCGCTGCATCTTCTTTCGGCAAACTCTGGAAGCAACAGTTGGATGAAAGAAAGGCAGCTGGATTAATTTAATAAGGGTTATAAAACCCAATGTTTATCATTTTCAACCCTATGTTAGTTTTATTAAGTGGTGAATTATCAAAAATATCAGAATATAAGCAAACGATCAAGACGGTTTACTGTAATAATAAGATATAATAATCAATTAGTTTGATCTCCTATTACAATTCTTCAATGCACGAAGTGTAAATATTTACATCTTTGAAAAATCTCAGGTAATGGTGACATTTTGATCTTTGAAAACAACACGAGTGAACACTTACTGCGTCAGGATCTATCATGATTACCTGAATTTTGTCATAAAACGTAAATTTTTACACTGTGTGCAGCGAAGAATACCTGAACAATTAGAACCAGAATTCAATGTGTCGTGCGAGTACCAGTATGTGTGTATCTTAGGGTGTGTTAAGTTTGTATGGTGGGACACAATCCTCTACTGTTAACTGCTTTTTCGAATTGAAATTCCTATCAACTGAATTTGAACGAATTTGGGTGTTATCTGGATTTACGAGGGAATTTTTATGTTAATACGGGAAACGGAAGAAAATTATTTATCTACTTAAAATTAAAAAAAAAACACATTGTTCAATTTTACCCATTGTTGAACATGAGATGAACTAGCCTTAGGCTAAAAATCTCTAAAATAAAGATTTTTAAAAAAACATTGTTGAATTTTAGAATGCAAAAACTATGCTAATAACTAAAGTTTGTCAAAGAATAACTTTAAAGACTGCAAAACTATTCGACTTAGGCTGACTGCACATTGAAATTACATTACATTCTCATTACATTGTACTTGTACACTAGGGTGGATCAACTTTACAACAATGCGTATTGAGGTCCCCAATTTGAACACATTTGGTTATAATTTCGAATTTTAATTTTTTTTACAGGAAAATGTACGGAAAACGGAACGATCCTATTAAATTGCTTACCAAAAATCCAAATATTGCTCAAATTTCACCAAGCCTTGGACTTGGATAGATAATACTATAAAAAACAACATTGTCAAAGACTGCAAATCGATTTGATCTTTGTACAAAATGTTACTTATCTTTCACTTTAGCCAAGTGATCCACGCGTACCTACAAGCTCATATATACGCCTGTAGGTATGCGCGGAGTATTATGTCTAAATTAATATAATATAATAACTTATTTTTTCTTAGAAGTTTAATCGATTTGCAGTCTTCGACAAAGTTATTTTGCATAGTATTCCCAATCTATTTCCGAGCATGTATGGTGAAATTTGAGCAATATTTAAATTTTTGGCAAGCAAATTAATAGCTTCGTTTCGTTTCCCATACAAAATTTAAAATTATCCCGCAAATCCAGATCTAACTCGGATCTAACCGGGTTCGTTCAAATTTGACACCGCTGATTGTTGACAAGCAAAACTGGTGGCCAATAGGCCACCGAGGTCCACATTCTCCATAAATACCACATACAAATAAACTGATTTCAGCATTCGCTTAAAGACCGAAGGTTTAGATCTATCTAATTTGCACAAAACTTTGGATTTTTTAATGCTGGCTTTTGAATTTACTTTCATTGGATATTGTAAACTCCAAAATGATAGAATCATTCTCATTTTACTTCAACATTGTTTTACCTAGTGGTAGATGTTTTTATGAGCAGCCAATCATTGCTCATAGAACCTTTACCTTAGGTGGTGAAGTGTAGCAGTTTGGTTATTCCGAAATCTAGTATTTGATTCCCCTTGCTCATAAAAGCCCACAGGATCTTAGTGGAGTAGTCGACTTTTCGAATGTTTGCATTGTCTTGCAACAAAGGCAAAATATGAGTTATTCTTACGGTATGCTTCAACCTCTGGCATTGCGGCCAGTGAGTGGCATACTTGCAAGTACATAACCACAATAGTTAGCTTTATACAAACTGTTCAACTTCCACGGTAGCTGGTTCAGTACGCTGGAGGATACAGCGTGACAGCGGCTTAAAGAGCATTGTTACTTGTTGCATAATTAGCGAAGTGGAAGTGATATTTTAATCCTTACATCACATTTCCTCGTTCAATTTATTTGCTGCATCGAATTGTTCGATTATTGCTTTCGTGTTATACAATCGGGATTGCTATTTGTGATAATAATTAAATCATAAATAAACGTTGTGCAAGGTAAACTGAACTACCCAGCACGATGACGGGAATTGGAGTAAGGGCTACTTACTGGTAGTATCTATTCCGTGGGCAGGAGGACATCTTTGTCGTATCGCTGTACCAGCGGGCGTTGGAGGCCAACATAGGATATTGTCCCATGTCCAATTGCAATAAGGAACTGAAAAAAATTGTGAAAATATTTGTGCTTTCATTAGATTATTTTCAATCAGGGGAGTAAAATGGAATTTAACCCAAATATTGAACTTAGCTGTGTGCAAAAGTTTGAAGGATCTATAATCATACTCAACCTAAAATAAAATAAAAGACTTCTTTATTCTTCGACAGCGTAGGAACAAATTGCTTTCAACAATCCACGTGTGCTATTAAACGGGTTCGGAAAACACGATAAGCTATTTATGTAATCCTGATGGGTGATGGTTATGAAACATGCTGCGCTTCGTAATGGCAAGTGCCACAAAAATTGACGTGCAGCGTGAAGCTTATTCCTACGTTCAACATTGCACTATGGGTCAGGAATGCAATCTAGCGGTACAAAATTAAAAACTCTGAATCCAAGAATTTTCGTGACTTGGTGTCTTGAACAAAGTTGCTTATTATGATGTGGACCATCTTTTGGCATAAAGAAATAGTTCAAAACTATTCCGTATAGATGGCGCCGAAATAAAAAAAAATACTCAAAAATCTAGAGACTTTATGTCTTCGACAAAGTTGTTTATCTCATAAAAATAAATAACTTGACACAAAATGTCAAAGTTCTACAGCTTACTGTTTCCGCGTTATTTGAAAAATAAGAAATAGAGGAAATGGCTCTAATGTTGGCCTATGGATCTAAGATTGAGCCCATCGCTAAAAATCTGCTATTTACCAGTTTTATCTAGATGAATGCGTCATTGGGACGGTACTTAAGGATATTTTTAGTCGCTATTGAAAATTTAGTCAATATCTGACATTACATCCATTTCCCCTATTTGTTTGTGTTTTTTTTTAATAATTCGTTTATTTTTCCAGGCTCATTTGCTGTAGCTTTGCGGAGCCGATATTCATTGTTTAGATAACCAAATTACTTCGGCTCGCCAAGACATCTCTAACAGGTATCGCGAGTTGTTTTCCTCGGGCCCCAAGGGATGTGGATAACTCATTCCCCTATTTGTTGAAAAAACTTATTTTCTAATCTATTTGAATATTTTCATTAACAACCATGATATTTTTTCCTGATGTAAATGTACTAAAGAATAAACTGATTTTTTCCAACAATTTCTACGAAAATGCTGAAAAGTTGTTCTACCAAAATGCTAAAATCTCAAAAACACTAAACCTGTTTGGTTTTATTTGTATTTCTTTTTTTTTTCTTCTGAAAATCTCAGGTTGCGACTTTTTGCGCTTTGCGAGATATTCAAATTTTAAAATTACAGCTTTTTTCATGTTTTTCAGCGTTTTCTGTAAAAATTTTGGTGCAAGTTATGCATTAGCAAACATTTAGTGTTAAGTGTATTTAAATCAGAATAAAATATAGAATTACCTGCTTGTTAATAACAATATCAAAAAGATTGGAAAACATTTTTTCCCAAATAACTTGAACTCAATAGGCTGGGGAATTTTGATGTTTATAAAAGAGTTGTTTATTTTGTTGAGATGAGTAACTCTGTCCAAGACGTCTCCAGAATGTCAGAATAAAAAGTTAGATTTTGGCACCATCTATGCACCATCACCACCATTGAACTATCTGTTAATGTCAATACATGGAACTAATTATTGTGAGAAACTTTGCTCAGATATCAAGTCACGAAATTGCTTCGTTTCGGAGTTATTAATGTTGTCCCGCTAGATTGCCTTCCTGGTCCATAGTGCACTGTGCTTTGTCGTAAAATAAGTATTGTACTTGTCAATGCCCAATGTTTCCGTTTGTTAGTGCAGTGGCCCTCAACCCACTAAATCATTAAAGCCAAATTTCAAATTTGATCCGCAAAGCTTATTTCAGTGCCAACATTTCAAAGGGGCGTAATTGCTTTTGTAAACAATGGCTTTAGTCGTCAATTTGTCGCGAATAAAAGCTCACCTCTCCAAAATAACAATGCTAACTTGTAGAGAAAACATTCCTCTACCTGTTGGTGTCATTATTTTTCATGAGTGAGCTTTTATTTGCGAAAGCCATTGTTCCAATGCAATTACGCCCCTTTGAAATGTTGGCACAGATTTGTATAAACGCAACAGGGATATTCATTTTTTTTTGTATTTTCAAATTATAGTCACTTTAATTCTCTAAAATCTCCATAATAAAGCTTTAAAAAAACTTTAACTCTCTTGGTTTTATTCTGTTAGCTCTATATTGTTCAGCCCGCTTTTGAATGGGGTATATACAAAGAACTAGCACAATAACTGTTGATTTTCTCAACGAATATGTTGACAATGGTGTAAAACAAAACAAAACGTTACTAAGCCACATTTCGATGATTGCAAATGATCATTAGTGTAGTTTAAACCGTTTTTCTGAAATATCGAAATGCGGACCGAGTATGCTCACCTTGATCTATTCTATTATAAAACAGTATGATCAAATTAATACGATGTTTCGATTTTCGTTTTAAAAATAAACAAAGAAATTAAGTTTTAGAGTAACAAAACATTCAAACAATAAATAAATGTAATAAAACTTGAAAACATAAATCAAGTTTCAATGATCCAAACCGTAGAGTTCGCTTCTTATTACTAATGATTTTTTTAAATATAACATATACCGTAAACAAAGAGAAAGTTGGTCAATTTTTACTGATAAACCTGAATATTTTTCAAACCACATGTTTGACTCACAAACAAATGATGTCCTAATGTATGAATTTAGTTTATAAATTGCCTGATTTGTTTATATTTTAAAAACCAATAACGCTGGTAGATCCCTTTTTACTGGTATAATATATACCTTCGAACCCTACACTAATAAAAATTAAATGCTATTTTTTATTTTTCCCACACATTAATTTTTGCAATGTGATAAACAAATGATATATATGTGTCGGACACATAGTTCTTATGTGTAGACATAAAATTCATGTGTAACCACACATACTATTCATTTGACTCATAAATTTCATGTGTACTTCTGAGTGGATTCTGGTTATGTGTGAACACATTATAATCATGTGGAATTTCACATGGAAATTCGCCAATAAAAAAGTGTCGAATTTTATAAGTGTAGTCATGACAACTTCAAACTAAGGGAACAGGATTTTTCAGTAATCAAAGGAACACATTTCAGTCCTTGTTACTTTTTATGCCTTTTCAATGGTGACAAGACTCGGAAAAGTAGTCGCAATGCCTATTGAATTCTAAAGTTAATTTAAATCAAATTTAAAATTAAAATGAAAATTTCTTGAAAAAAGGAATATTTTTCCATAAGTTTCACTGGGTCAATTACTCACCGCTTATCTACTATAGTGTAAGGTAAAAGTGATCGTTGCTGATATGTCTTAATGAACTCGGAGGCAAGTTGCGTATCAAATGGACTTATCGTATCTTAATTATCCTAACCGTATTTTATAAAATTATATGTACGCGTCCGGGAGGTAAAAGAAAAATTGTTTGATAAATTTGATGCTTGCATTTCGCTGTTTATAATGTATTGTGATTCAAAGAGTTTGATGGTGGTGGAGATTTTATGGTGGTGGGTTTTGCATAAAGAAGAGTGCCATGCTCCCTGTTTATGTGTTTTATGTGGTTGTGTATATTTTTTTTCCTTTAATTTCCTTTCAAAATTTTCCAAAATTTGTTTAAGGTTCTGTTGATTCTGCCATGGTGAGCTTGACCTCGATCACGCGTGATCTATTTTGCGGTTTTAATTAAAACATAAGAAAAGCGATACTGTCGGTAAGGTGTTCACCCGAATGCAAGAACATAGTTGAGTCTTGTGGGGGAAAAGACATTACGATTTATCCCAAGCTACTATTGTAGAAAATCGTAACTGATAGATCTTGGGCGCAGAACGCTTCGGAATGTTTAGAAAAATAGGACGCACGCTTGATCAAGTGTGGGATACATTGAAAGGTGTACCGTTTAAAATCCATACACACTCAAATTACTCTAACTTTTGATCCGTTGAGTAAAATTAATTGAAATTTTGCGTAGACATAGTTCAATGTGTATTGTTTACACTCTGTGAGTTGATTTCATCAGGTGCGCAAAAGTTTTCAAAATGGCGACGAAAGAACAGTGTGTGCGCGAAAAAGTTTTGCACGAGTACTTTGAGAATAAGGATCTGTCGTATCGTGTCGTCGGAAAAAAAAGTCGTGAATTCCACGGTGTCTGGTATCATAAAACGGTTCGAAGAACGTCTGACTGTTGGCCGGAAGCGAACATCCGTCAGGTCAACGAGAACGATAACAAACGCGTGGTTAGGGCCTTTAAAAAGTTGCATGTGAGCAAGACAAGGTCCGACAATCTTCTGGCCGGATTTTACATCATGCCACTACACGAAAGACGTGCTATAGTGGTATAAGGCGAATGATGTAAAATACTGGGCCTTCATAATGAATCTTCTAAACCGACCTAAAGTGGTGACGAAAGCACAATCGATAAAAAAACTGTCGATTCTGAGGTCGTGCAGAACCTTATGGCTGAGGTTAAAACCAAGGTTCTCCGCATTCGGATGTATAGGCGAAATAAATTAAATGAATGATGCTAAAACTAACTTTAATTGTTTCTTTTTACTTTCCGAAGATTTGGTGATAATCGGATAAAAACTCGAATTTTGAGATGATGATGATGATGATGATGATGGTCCCACCTCTTACCCCATACAAAGGTTTGAGCTGGACGATTTATCTTTAAGATAATTAAATATGACAATTTAACCAGGTTTGCAAACAAAATCGAACTGGTTACAGTTATAGATATAAATACCCTCTAGAGTTAACAGTTGCTTCACAGCGATATAAATGTGGAAAAGCTCAGGCGTCCACCTCTTAGTTCGCCTTTTTGTCCACCTTAAATATTCATAAGTATTACAAGCAATCAAGAGTTAATGAACAATCAACAAAGCATCCTATTACACTAGCAACCCCGCAATCTGATGCTATCATAATTTTCAGCAATGTCAGAAATGCTCACGAACCCCCCAACAATTGCCAGAAAACTTACTACTAACTCAAGGTACCTTCCAAATAG